AAGAAAATGAGTCTTTTTTTTTTTTCTTCTTCTTTTTAAACTGAACTTACTAGAGAGCTTTAAACACTTTGTTTTAAATCCTTCAAACTTACGGGGTGTGTTAACCACAATGGTGCCATACTTGCATCCTTCTCTGTTCAAACCTATAAAGCTGGTTCTGAGATGTAAAATGTGGGAGGTGCTCTGCAGTTTTTAATATAGGCTCTTACTGCAAGTTCACATGTATTCCTGAGACAGGACAGATACAGAAAAAAGTTGTTTTGCTCCGTAAGCTGCAGTGTAAACTGTGCCATTGTAGGGTACTGGATTTGATGAATTAAAAAAATAGGGATACATGCCCACAAAAAGAAATTCTACTCTTGTCTAGCCACAGAACAGTTCCACCACTTGTAAAATGCTGCAGCAATGTGGATTTGGGTATGCTTTGTCAAAATAAATTAGATCTGAATATAAGTACAACATTCAGGCAGCCAAACAAACTGTAACAGAGAAGAAGCAGCAGAGGGAACAGACTGAAACTGCACACAGCAAACACAGAAAGTCCCATCCTGCATCTCTAGGGCTGCCCGGGCTCCAGTGGATCTTTCTAGCCAAAAAAAAAGGGGGCTGACAGTGGCAGCAGCACGTTTATCACTAAAGGAAGTTTGCAATATTGCCTATCCTGACAAAATAACCTGAGCAGTGATGCATACTTATTCATTTGATATATTGACAATTCTTCCTTGGAAACCTGTCTGTCCTATTAGTCTGCTAGAGAATAAACCCACCCTTCTGTCACTCTGCTATGTGCTTCAGAGTAATAAACCCCAGAAAATGCACAGAATGGGTACTGATGTGGTGAACCAGGTCAAAGTTGAGCTGAAGCTGTGCCTAGATTTAACATTCAGCTTGATCTTTCACCCTGGTCAAGGGAAGGAGGAGAAGCTGGGATGATCTTCCCAGAGCTGAGAGTAACTTTCCCTCTTGGTGCTGCAGATGTGGAGCTGCACGGTTTCACACTCACTGCTGCTCTCCTGGTCCCATGGAACAGACAGGGGACAGCCACAGGAATATTCTTCCACAAATACATTTCAGAAAACATCCTATCACTCAGCCTGTAAAGGCTTGGTCCCCTATTATAGCCTAACTTTCAATATTATGACTAGAAACAAGCAAAATGCATTTGAAAGCTTAAGAACTTGTTGAAGGTATACATAAATCAGAGGATTTACTGATTACAGTATTTTTGGAGGGAAAGATCCTGGGCTGGCAATTTCTGCATGTCCAGCTTGAGTGGAATATTGTCAGAGATATTTGTCTCCTGCAAGCACAGTTCCATAAATCACTGTACTAGCTTTTTTTTGAGAATGCAATTTGAAGCTCCAGCACATACTCAGAAACTACATTACTAATGTAAATATTGTAGTTGCTTGAAAACAAAGCTTTGCAAGCAAAAGAGGTCACTGACCACTAACATTTTGTGAGTAGACCTTTGTCATTTATTTTTTTTCACTGAGAGCTCATCAGAAACTGAGACAGCAAAACCATCTTTTTGCATCTTTGCCAATTTACGCCTTCTTTGGAATTAAATGCATATCTAGGCTGACAGCTTATGTACAGCAGACTCCACTTAAGATAGACATGGGTCATCTGGATAATTGGATAACAAGGAGAAAAGCTGGTTTCCCAATCAAGTCAACTAGCTGGATGACTGGAGTTATCATTTAGGTCAAAAGGAAAGTAGATTTTTAGGGGGGTCATTTTCCAGACCTCGTTCTTCCCATCCACTGTCTGACAGCCCTTGGCAACTAGCAGGAGTCAGAGGTGGAAAAGACCCATTGGACCATCTAGTTCCCCTTCCTTGCAAATGTCTGATTCTTCCTCTTGTTTCTAGCATACTCGAGTTTGATGCTTCCTGTATAATCAACCTTTGGGTCATGCTGCCTCTGTCCATAGCCAGGACCCAGGGAGGTGATGCCAACCTTGCTTTGCAATGCAATAGGGTAGGTGAGAAACAAAGACACTGGGAATATCTACTTCCCAAAGTGGTCTGTGCACCAGCAGTGTGTGTTTCCTCCCCTCTCCTGCAGCATATCAGCCCTGATTACTATATAAATCTATGTGTCAGCTATGTCCTAACAGTTAAGGCATTAAAAGAATCTATTTATCTCTTGCCATTAAGTGCATGTCAGGACCAGCTGAGCACTGGATAAAGTCTCACTGTCCACCCTACTGCCCATGTGGCCTCTGTCCACGCAGGGGACCCAAGCACTACACATGCACAGATCTCCACATTCAGAGTTAGAAATTCTCATTAGTTCATGTTTCAGTTCAAATAAGACTTTGCAAGTTTCATTAAACCTCTGTAAAATATATTTAAGGACTGAAGCGAATCCAAGGAACACAAGCAGGGGCTAAAGGCATGCAAAACATAAAGACATGTGTAATTAAAATAAGTCATTTTAGGATTATTAGAGAGGGGTTTCTAACTTTTGTAATTTTTAGTCCAATGCAGAAATGGAAACACTGTCTTTGGAACCAGTACCAATATATAAATTAACTACCAATATGCAAATTTTTGGTGTCCTTATCTTTGCTATAATTTCATTGAGGTGAGTGGGCAGAAGAGAATCCATGGAAGGAAGAGCTGGGCTAGAAAATGGAACATTTTTCAAAGATAATTGAGTTTAGCCTGGATTTGTTAAGATGTAAGTGGTTTTGGGGGAAGTGAAAACTATTCAACTCATTGCAAGCCAACAAAAATACCTCTTCTTTGAAGCAAGAGTAATGTACCTCCACACTTATCTTTTCCCAATTATTAGCCAGCAGACAGATACCAGCACTTCCCTGTGCTCCACAGCTTGACAAATGGTCAGAGCCTGCCATGAGCCTGGTCCACTCCTGTGGCACGTGTGGCTTTCCAGGTATTGTCTGAGCAGGAGAGGACTTTTTATGGCCATGTGGTAAGAACAGCTCAAGAGCTGTTAGGGGATGGAAGTGGAAAGGGCACGGGAGTTCACATCCTTATCACTAGGTTTTCTCTGCTGCACTGAGTCACCACATGCCCAAATCCTGAGAATAAAGTATGTTAGTGATAGAGAGAATCCCACGACAGGCAAGAAAACACAGAGCGTAACGATAGCGAGAGGAGGGGAGTGGGATGGGGTGAGTTGGGTCAACGTTCATGTTGCTCACTGTTGCTGCTTACATTTGCATCTCTCTTATGCTCACTATGAAGATTTATGTGTCTGGATAAAAAAGCAGGGAGAAATCTCTTTGGATTCATTTTAGCTTCGTGATGGCACCTCTATGAACAGTTCCTTTCTGTCTTTACACCTGCAGCACTGGGAGCCTGATCTGATGCCAAAGCAGCTGGCACTCCCTGCTACCAGCTGGGTTTGGTGAAAATGGCAGGAAAATACAGACCTGTCTCTGACAAAGTTCTCAGTTTACAATATAATATGAGAAGTGTCTGGGGCAGTCAGGCACCTTACCTTGGCACATCTAGATGGCTTCAGCTTTCACAGAAAGTACTGCCCTCACCTTTCCCGTAAGGTACACAGCCTGAGGGGAGCTGGCCTGCTATCAGAAGTGGATACCATCCCAAAGTTCACTGATCACAGTATGGGTCAATAAGTGATGAAATATGTGCCTTTGTACATTTTTTTCTACCTTCACAGCCCTCTGCAGACACGAACTGATTAAACTCCATGCCAGCAACGTGATGCATCTTTATCTTCATGGCAGTGATGGAGCACTGGAGCTACAGGCACATGAAGTGCCTCATCCAAGGCAATAGGCTGGGGAGAATCTGCACCAAATCTGTAACTGAGGCCCTTATTTAGTGTCCAAACAACTCCTTCTGTTAATGCCAAATCTTAAACCATCCCTTGACTCCATCTTTTTCCTGATGGAAATCAGAGGAAAGACAGTTTGAAAGGTGACAGGCTGGGCTATGCTTCTGCACCACTCAGCAGCCTGGGCATTGCTACTTGTACCTACATATAAGGACTTAAAATCTGTTTCTTCACTACCTCCTCCTCCAAACTGTGGGAAGTAGCAGTGGTTTGGTGACCTGCTCTGGGCTACATGCTCAGCAGTGACCCACCTGCAAAGCAGGGGGACAAGCCCTGATGGGACAGCCCCTGAGCCTTCTCCAGCTGGAGCAGCACGAGGCCCTCAGCAATCCACGAGGGCAACAGCAAAAGGAAGAGGCAGCTGCTGCTCTGCCCAGCCTTTCCGGCATGTCCGTAGGTTGGCACACCCACACGTTTCTCCTGGAGCTTGTCTCTTATTCCTTCCCAGGCAAGTTGCCAGAAGAGCAACAAGCAAGTTGGCAGCTGCTGATAGAAGCCACCATTACTATTAGCTGCTGGTCACAACACAAACGGGACACGGATCAAAGAGGGGCCTAGTCCTTTGACTAGAGGGTGTTTTTTAAAACAAGTCAAAATTAATGGAGACAATAAAACCTCAACAACTGCGCTTCAGCATTTCTGAGCATCTCCTGCCACTGGGCCCCTCCTGAGCAGCATAAGCTCTGACGTGCCATTCCATTTACTTAAACAGATGATATAATTTATCAATATAATGGACACTGATGAAGATGGATTAATTTGGATTACAGAACCAGCGCTTCCTGGTGGCTCTATTCAGGACACATAATGAGGATGTGTGTGATTATGATATTGTTTGGAGCAGGGTGGGCAAGGGCAGCAATCCACGTGGAGATGGGGATGCTCCTGAGCTGGCAGGGGAGGAAGGAGAACCCCTGGCACAGCTACGTGGTAAGGAAGTTCCAAGCACCAGCATTTTTCTTCAAGTTACTTTAGGCTTCTCAGGCTATGTTTATGTGATCTGCCACTATTTCTTTTTAATAAACGACTAAGAGAGATCCCCATAGAAGTTAATGAACCAGAGAGGTAGCGTACAGAGAAAAGGAAAAGCAAAATTTAAAAATAAAATAAAAATCACCATTGGGTGAGATGTACGTGATCTCTGATCACACCTCTTCTTTGTACCTGTTCCTGATCCCACTATGTCCCTGCTGGGAGATTCACACATCGCGTCGGCCAGGCGCTCCCGGAGGCCCTCCTCGGTGTGCTCCATGGAAGACATGTGACGGAGACCAAAATTCTCAGGCCAGCTCCCACACACCTCCAGCAAGGTCACACTCCGGTCGAAGGCACCTTCAACAAACAAACGGGAGACGTTTGGGACACCCCAGGACCAAACTACTTCCATACGTATTATTTATTGCCTCGGAAAGAAAGAAACCTTTGCATTTTGCGTTTCTGAAATCCTGATTTTAGCACATCAGTTAAAATGTTGGTGTTAATAGCATGGCAGGGGCAAGCAGAGCTCTAAGCACTGAACAGTTCTGACCAAGTAGTTGTAAGTAAAAAGCTTAAATTCAAAATATAGACACAATTCTGGTCTCATATTAAGGGAAAGTCAGGAAATCAGCAGAATGACACTGATGGAAGGGACAGGTAACATTAAAAAACTGCACATATGTTATTAAGTACATGTTAGACAACTAGAAATTGTTTGTAAAATGGATTTGCCTTTCACTGGATTGCTGTGGAGCACTCTTGCCTTTTGAGTCTCAGACAATGGAAACAGTCAGGTCATTTTGTCTTTGCCAATGGGTACAAATTTTAGCTAAAACCCCTTTCTTGCTCTTGGGCAGAAAAGCACAACTGTGCAGTGAACTGACAGGGAAAGTCCAGCTTGCTTTCTGCCTCGTGTTTGAAGGAACACTTTTTCCTTCCTGCTG